AAAAAAAAAAAAAAAAAAAAAAAAAAAAAAAAAAAAAAAAATGCACATATGAACAGCCCAGTGATAGAGAGACAGATCAAGTGTTACATAACATGGCGAATCAAAAACTGACTGGCACCTCTGTCATGTTGACGCGGGAGAAGTCCAAATACATTTATAAGTTAGTCCCCTTTTTTAAGAATGGGGAGGCCAAATTTTACATGAATGCCTTTGCGGCGCATGACCAACTGTATGGGCAGTTCAGGAGGAGGGCCCCCCGGGGGATCGACGAACGCGGCGAAGGTGGCCAGCGTGGCGGGCGTGATCGGCTCGGGGACCTGCACACCAGCATGCAGAGCGCCATGACCTACTTCTACCTCATGAACGACAAGGCCATGCGTGCAACCCGGAAAAAGCCACCCCGAAGCAGCCCCTGCAAGGGCACCCTTCAAGGGGAACGACCACCCTATGATGATAATCCCCATCTCGATAAACCAAACTCAACGATGAAGTCGCCTCGTCCAGGGGAGGGCTGCACTCCGGAAAAGGAAGAGAAGGAGGACGACACAAATGAAGCAATACCAAGTAGTGACCAATACGCCGTGCACACCTCGGAGGAAGAAAAGTTAGTGAAGCACCTGAGTGAACATAAACGCCCAGTAGAGGAAGGACAAGCAACACTTCCCCCCAGTGCAGACTCGCCTCCATGCGTAGGAAGCGATATCATGTGTTGTCCGCACCTGAAAGGCAGAGGCAAAGAGGGGGCAGTATTAGAAGAGGTTCACAAACCTGATGAGTCGAAGGCCCAAAAAGGAGATCATCTCAACCGCGAAAACACGCCAATCTTTGGGGGCAGCACCCATGACGCGAAAAACAGGATCACTGGTGCGCTGGGTGAACACCGCGTCTTGGCCTTTTTGGTCAAACAGAAGCTCATTCCAAAATTTTACAACATAGTGCCTGTGTATCGGTGTGAGGCGGAAGAGACGGCCTCTTATTCTGCGGAAACCCATAAAATAAAAAATGGGAGCCAAAGTGCAGACTCCAATGCGGAATGTGTACCCGAGGCAGGGAAAACCAAGTCGAATGCAGAAGAGCTACCCGTTAATGGTAGACGTGACGACGTAGCGGTGAGAAGACATGTGCGTGGTAAAGAAGCCGAGAAGTGGAAGGTTGGCAAGTTGAACGACCTTGTGAGGGTAGCTGAAGGGACTCCAAGTAGAGACCCCTCTGAACGTCCAGTCCACATAGCCCTAAAACTTAAGAAAATCTGCCACTCCATAGACCCTCAAAACCAGAATGTCCTTGACCTAAAGCTAGGATACAACACATTGAAGGATAATGACATACAGTTTAGTGAAAGACTTAAAGAAGTGAGCGACTCCGTCCCGTGGAGCGAAAAGGAAAAGTATGTGAAGAGGTGGTCCAAGATGAAAAAAGACATACGAAGTGAACACCTAAATACAAGTGACGAGCATATCATACATCTCTCTGCGAAAGACATAAACTTACCCCCTGCATTTTTCAACTACGACAATCATGAACTTTATTGCCTGTTAAAATCGTGGAAGCAAGAAATTACTGCGCGCATGACGACGCAAAGGAGGTTGGGATTTCGTATATGCGCGCTGGTATGCTGCATGGAGCAGCAGGATATGTTGACAGACCAAGGAGTGCGGGAGTTTTACGCCGACTGTGTGGCGAAGTATGGGCCAGTGGCTGCTGGTGGTCCGGGTTGCTGCCAACACAGCGCACGGTGTGGCGGCCAGGACAACCATCAGCAGAACAACCAGGCGAGAACCCCCCCCAGCATCGAGCAATGCTACGAACGAGCTCACCAGAGGCTGCAAATCAGTAGAGACATCGGACTTCACCTAAGGGAAGAACACGTGGTGTACTCACTGACTTTTTTTTTCAGAAATATCATTTCATTTGTTCTCCCCAAATTAATAAGCTTGCAAGTGTGGCTGGAACAACAACATGTTTATTCCTTCTGCTCCACCTCCCTGCTAATTATATATGACCGGAGGAACCCTCAAACGTGTGACTTAAAGTGGATTGATTTTACCTACTCCTTTGACAACACCGTATTGCCAAGTAGATATGAAAAGATGAAACATGAGAGACAAAATGTGGACATCCTTTTTGGCGTAAAGAATTTAATTAAATTGTGCAGAACGGTGTTTTTTGAAAGCAAAGTGCCGCCGTCGCCGTCGTGTCCATCGGACAGTGAGAGGAAGCAATCTCATCCCGGGATACACGACCAGCCAAAAGTTAACCCGTAGCTTGACTCACCATTTTTTTTTTTTTTTTTTTATTTCCGTGTGTACTTCCGAGGGGGGTTGAACAGCCATATGTGCTGCATGTGCATACATTTGTGATAGACCTCGGTTTGATACCCAGTTGTTTTATTATGTAACCCTGCGTGCGCGTCTTTCCTCCTCCCCCACGGAGTGAACAGACGTTCACCGCATTATCGTGTCACCCCTGTGCCACTGTTTTTTTTTTTTTTTTTCTCAATTTTGCCATTTTGGCGGGTTTGCGTTTGTCATACCGTTCGATGGCCCAGCTATATGCATGCAAAGGAACAGTGAAAAAAAAAAAGAGCGCGCGAGGTTGCGCAGCCGAGACCGTCTCATCCTAAATGAGATTGGCCAGCAGTTTTACTTTGCACATTTCACTTTGCATTATGCATTTTAAAATTTTCATTTTTTATTTCATTTTTATGAGCACCTCACGGGTGAGCGCCCGCCTGCCGCGCCAGTCGGAAGGTCTTGCGGAGCAAAACGTGGAAAACGAAAAAGAACAGCACGTCGCTGTACGAACCGTTGATCCCCCTTTTCCGCTTTACCACTCGAACGAATCTTAAAAAAAACAAACCCAATTCGTAGGGAGTTATGCACGTGTTGTAGTAATCGAGAACGTTCATGTAGTTCTTCCGGGAGTGAGCGAACCGCTTCCTCAATCGATACAGTGCCACTCCAACTTGTCTCCTCCGTTTTATGCGCACATGTTCGTGTCCCCCCTCATGCGACATCACCTGGGGGCATTCCTCCACATCCGAAATGATCCGCTCTGGGACTTTTTTTTCATCTTTTCTCCGCCCCCTCTTGTTTCTTTTTTTTTCCTTTTCATTTTGCACACAAGGGGGAGAATCGTTTGCGACTTGTTCAAAATTTTCCACTTCAAGTTGTTTCACCTGTTCGCTCAGTTCGTTCACCAGTTTGTTCTTATACCCCTCGGTGTGCACAGGGCAAGGTGCTTTTTCCTTTGTTTCGCCATTTTCCCTCTTAGGGAGAAGTTCCTCTGAGTAACATTTCTGCTTTGCACATGTAGCAAACTTGTTCATAATTTTTTTTTCCTGCTCGTTTAATAGGACAATGTAGCGTACCGCATTATTCTGCAAGCGGTATTTGTCGATTTTTTCCCTTTCGTTTGGCTGGGAAAGACACAATTGCAAGTTAGACTCATTTGTTAAATGCAAGTTTGGCGTGTTTAACGTTTTAGAAAAGATTGATAACACTTGGACGAAGGATAAGCAGAACATACGCGAGAATTTTTTTAAGACTTTCTTCTTCACGTTGTTTTTGCCTGAACGGTTCAGGTGAAATTTTTTTTTTTTTTTTTTTTCTTGCGAATATACTGTAAATGGCTAGCTGTGTGTGCAATGTAGCTATTTCTCTTTGAGGTTAATTTTGTGTGTTCCTCCTCCTTATAGTGGTTATTATTCGTCTGCCGCTTAATGACCGTTGTCCCTTCTTTTTCTTCCCTTTTATCTGCGCTGTTCAGAATGTGCAACGGTTTCCACCTTTTCGCCTTAATTTTTGTTTCCCCCCTGCCATGTGTGTGGTAGTCATCGTAGTGGTCGTGCGGGCCCAAGTTGATACTCTTTGCTTTTCCCCTAGTCGTCTCAGCCTTCCTTGTTATCTTCAACTGTAGTAAAAATTTTAGCACATCTCCCAGCCGCAGGGACACATTTAATTTTGTGCTCAGGAGTGAAAAACGCTTTTCCGTTGAGTTGAACAGCAGGAAGTACAAAATGAAGTAGTAGACGAAGTTGTCCAGGATGTTCACTAACGCGGTAAGGTCTTCTTTGCCTCTCCGGGGGGAACCATTTTTTTTTTTCTCATTCGGTTTGATTGGCGGTGCGCCACGGTGGCAGCAGATGGCGCAGCTGGGCAAGGCTTTCACCCTTTTCGCGGCATTCGCATGGTTCTGCACTTTTTTCACTTTTTTTTTTTTCCCCACCCCGTGGAAATTTCCTGTCCTCTGGCGCGCTTCACCCGTTGGACCGGGGCCAAATCCTTGGCAACGTGCGGGATGCGTATATTTTGTGGGACACACACCATTTTCGCGGTTCTCAGCGCTGACATGTCTACCATTTACAGCCCACTTTTCCTCCTCTCCCTTTTTTCCACACTTGTTTCGATTCCGCTTCGTTCTCATATGCCGCTTTTTTAAACCTGCTGCGATGTTACCGCTCTGGGGGTGATGTTTCTCTGTGTCCATCCCCTCCACACACCCTTTCAGCGCATTAAGTAGGTTGACCATGACGCGCGTCTGGTGCTCGCCTCGAACATCACGCAGGTGCAACGACACACGTACCAATGTATACACGAAAGAGTTAAAGGAGATTTTCCTGCTCTCATCGTGAATGTTATATCTAGCTAGGTTTAGGACGGCGAGATGTTTGTTCAAATGAGCACTTTGATTGGGGTCACCAGTTGGATGATTGCCGCTATTTCCATTCCCTTTTGCCCATCCTGTGCGGCCAACCGTCCACGCCTCACTCATGCGCGCTAAGGCATACCACAAGGGGAAGGCAGAGTGGAACACACTAAAGAGGACGTAGAACAGATAGCCGTTGTCATGTCTCCCTTTATTTGTAAAAAGAAAGAGGCAGATTTTTTTTAAAACGCGTTTTGCTTCGTTCATATGGTAGCACCGTTGCTCCTTCCACTGGTTTTTATAAAAGTTTTTTAAACATTTCACCAGAAAGAGATCCTTGTTGAAAAGGATGTGTGCCATGGGGTTGTGTGTGTCGTATGTCGGGGTGCTCACAGGATGGACTGCCTCACCTGGTATGTCAATCATCCCACAATTTTTTCCATCCATGTGACTATTACGAGCAGACGACCTGGTACCCTCACCAAAACTAACTTGATTAACATTTGGGTTATGGCTCCCCTCGTTTGTTGCCTCTTCTTTGTGTACCCCTGTTGCGCGTGTAAAAAGGAATGGTTCTGTTAATAAGTGGCTGGACTGGAAGAACCTCTTGACCATTTCTTCCTCATTCAGGAGTGTATCCTCACCGACCCATTTGTAATTATCACCAAGGAGATTGGCCAAATTTATATTATCACCTAACGACATGTCGTCTTTTACCAGCCAGTTTAGCGAGCTAAGGGGGAAGCTGCTGTGGATGATGTTAGCATCGTAGAACATGTGCCAGAGGTTCTTCAGTTTGAAGCTGCCGACGGGGTGGACACCCTCCTCCTTCCTAATGCTGCTGTTGTCCTCCTCCCTCCTCCTCCCCTCATATATGTGGTCCCCCCCCCACCCGTTTCGCCAGTAGAAACGATACGCCTTTATTAGGAGGTCAAAATGGTCATACACAATTTTGTAAAAATGCTTGATATGTCTGTGCGTTAAGTTGGAGTCTTCCTGGAGGAGAGTCCCCAGGTTGACTAGCTCACAAATGGAATTCGTGTACAAGTGATTCATTTTGTATGTCTGGTTGAGCTCTACCTGAGATGTGATTTCCCCATTGAGGTAGTTGCATTTGCAAACGGTGCCATTTAATTTTAAAAGATACCCTAGTCCATGTTTTTTATTTTTTTTCCAAAAACCCCAATATGTATCTCCACATCTGTGATGGAACATTCCGAACCCATTTCTTTCCCCCCTTTGCCAATACCCTTCATGCTTATGGTAGCGCTCACTTTGATAAGCGCTCTTCTTTTTATTTCCTTGTCTCACGAACCAGAAGTATGTTCCGTACCCGTGCATTTGGTCGTTCTCCCATTCTCCTACATATACGTTTTGTATGACCTTCTTGGGTTTGTTGCCTTCTTCTGGGGGAGACTTCTCAGAGGTGATGTCGTCACAGGGGGGAGAGTTTCCCCTTTTTACGTCGCCCCCTTTTGCAAACCAGCACATTTTTCCAAACCCGCACTTTTTGTTCCTCACCCAGAAGCCACAGTAAACGGCATTAGCGTGGCGTTGTACACCATAGAAGTGCCTCTCGTTTTGTCTCCACCAACCTTCGTACGTCTTCACACTGGGCTCATTCACACACTTCCTTATTAACAAAACTCCATAACCATTACGCTTATTCCCCTTCCACTCCCCCTTGTAAACCACTACGCTTGATTTCGCATGAGCAGCAGAAGGACGAAAAAAGAAAGTACTTTTTCCCTGACCCCATTTCTCACCATTTCGTATATGCCCTTCGTATACAAGCTGCTGTGAAATGATTTTTCCAACCCCATTTAAATTTCTTCCTTTAAAATTTCCCATGTATGTTTCCTTCCCCTTCTGAATCACCATGTCTTTCCCCAGGTGGGCACAATGGAACTCGTCCAGTGGGAGCTCTGCACTAATGACATAATTGTTAATGTATACATTCTTCAGTTGTAGAGTAGCGGGATGTTTGATATTCACGCAGGAGTCGATTTGGCTTGGCCCATTTGGGGGGTGTCTCTTTTTGCTGAAGAAGTTTTCCCAGAAGGAAGCTTCCCAGGGGGGGTGGCTGGCTTCCTCCATGGGGTTCACCAAGGGGGGTATTTTAATTGGTGGGGAGTTCATTTATTGGGCAGCTGGTACACTTTTTTTTCCCTACACCTTTCCACTTCGCGCACAGTTATTTTTCAGACAGCAGGGAAAGGGCAATAACGACGACGACTGTGTTAGTGCCTCCTCACTGAGGGGGGGGGAGACACAATCTCTTTTAATTGCGACAGTAGGGTGCTTAACCTAGCGGCGTGTCGTCTTCATTTATATTATAATAAAAAAAATGAGAACGAGGAAGAGGAGACAATTCTGGGGGCCGCGAAATTAATAACGCGGGTATGCATACCAACTTGTCGCATTTTTTTTTTTTTTTTTAAATGCACATTTATCGTTCGTAGAAAAGGGGGGTAGTGGTGGGGGGGGGAGAGATATACGCATGTGGCTTCCCTCCCACATGTATGTGTCCTATGGAAAAAAAGTACATCCACTGGTATGACTTAAATAAAAATGCTTTCTCAAACTTTCACGCGGTTGAGGTTTGTTTGGGGGGAGAGTTGCCTCTCCTCTCTTTTTGTGTGTGCGAAATGGCTGCTCGTACATGGCACGGAAAAAAAAAAAAAAAATTACATGCCACGTTGCTCTTCCCCCTCTCTGTGGTTTACATCACATAGTAGCCCGTTTTTACGCCTCTATTTTTGTATGTCCCTGCAGGGGTGGAAGGGTAACATTCATTCTGTGGACAATCATAAAAAATTTACCCCGCTGTGGTCACGCCGTTCCCAATCCTTTGTGTGAAGGAGAGCACTCCCCCGCCCGCTGCTCCAACATCTTCACAATCATTATCGCATTGTTCGTGTCTCTTTAAAATTTTCCAAATCGAGTAGACTTTGCGCTTTCCTCTAACGTTGCTCTCTCAGTTGTGGCTGCTTTTGTTTGGCTTTCTTCTTTTCGTCTCGGATTTTTTTTTTTTTTTTTTCTTTTCCTCCTTTTGGAGATATATTCTGCGCACACATGAAGCGACCGTGGTGGACTTGGCTAATTCGAATTGTCCCACGAGTGGTGAGTGGAAAAGTGACTCCTCCCAACGCTTACAACCAAAGGGCTGTCCCACCTCGTGATGCTACTATTTGGCTTATTCTTTCCGTTCTGCCGCGAATTAAAAAAAAAAAAAAAAAATCCGTTGTCATGTGGTGCACGATTGCGGGTGCCTTTTTTTTTTTTTTTTTTTTTTTTTTTTCCGTTTCCTTTGCATTTGTTTCTGCTCCTCGTGGCTGCCTCGTTTATGTTATGATCTTATCGTGTCGTATTGGATCTTTTTTTTCTTCCTATCTTTGCCTCCCTTGTTGTTTTTCTACTCACTTGTTACGTACGCCACGCTGTTTTTCCATCAAATTGTACATTACCCCCTTCACCGTGTATGCCCAGGCAGGCTTATTCGTGCCCCCCCGAAAGTCCGACGCGCGGTAGCACAACCAGCACGTTGAGAAATATGCACTTATACATATATACAATATATATATATATGTATATGTATGGGTAGATATGAAGATATGCAAATGGTTATTTATTGCCTGCCCCTCGCGGAGTTCATATCTTAGGTGACTCACCCCCAGCCACTCTCTCTGTAGGAGCAACAGGATTTTACCGAACACGATTTAAATGTATAATATACGGCGTAGTGTTGCTTTTTTTTTCCTTTTTATCACCTCCCATTTTGCCATACATCGTTACATGCCTACCTAATGTGAACCATCATGGGAAGTCTCAAAAGGAGTACCTAGTTTGTTCTTTGTTCTGAACATTTTTTTTTTTTTTTTTTTTGTTAACCAATTTTGTATGTCTCTACGGGCAGCTACATATATATATATTTTTTCATTTTTTTAATACATACGGGATTGATTGCCAATCATATAAAGGGCGGGGGATAGGAGGCTTCACAAAAGAGGTAATATAAACTGCCTCGACTTGTCTTGGCTCACTTGTGAAGTTGACACGGGGCATTTGTTCCCCTCCTCCATTGTGTCGCCCATTTTGTTGTCCTTTTTATCGCCTACTTTGCGTCGTCCGTGTCGTGCCCCTTTTTAATAACTGTGTTACTTTTGGGTGAGCGGACCAATGGACAACCTGAAAAGGCGCGTGGTAAGTCTTCACTGTTCACCTAACGTTTGCGTGTTTGTACAGGGGCGTTAAAGTTGTGGTTTGGTGGACGAGGTTTAGACCACCTCCTCTCCTCTTCAAATCGCTCTTTCCCCGCTGACACCGTGTAAAAAATTTCACCCTCCATTTTTACTTCCACTCCACACGCAGGCCTACAAAGCGGTCGACGACTACGTCCAGTCTAACATGACCATAGGACTTGGGACCGGTACCACTGTGTTCTATGTCCTTGAGAGGATGGAGGAGTTAATGCGAAATGGGCAGATCAAGAATGTGGTTTGTATCCCCACGAGCATCGACACGGAAATAAAGGTTAACAGGGAAGAGGGGGGCGTTGCTGCGTCCCTATATGGAGGCACCTTCCCGAGGGCAGAGATTTTTCTACACATGAGAGCTTCCTTATCCTCTTGCCCAAATGAAATGGAAGTGCTCTCGTATCCCCCTTTTTGAACTTTTTCATATCACACCATCCTAACCTAATCGCATGCAGGCCAAAGATTTAGGCATCCCTCTGACGACGCTAAAAAAAAATTCCCACATCGATATAGCCATAGACGGTGCTGATGAAATTGACATGGACTTAAATTTGGTCAAAGGTCGAGGCGGGGCTCTCGTGAGGGAGAAGTTAGTTGCCTCCAGTGCATCCGTTTTTATAATCGTAAGGAGAGAAAAATGAGTGGGGAGGGAAGTGAAAGCGTAGTTTGTACTCTGCTTTAGAGGGAGGTTGATCTCTCTTTAAAAAGAAAAAAAAAAAAAAAAAAGTGCCCGCGAGGTCTAGCCGCATTACGCCAGACAGGCAAAGCCGATTATACATTTCGAATAATGCTCACGTTACACTTTGTTCCTGTCGACCGCTCAACCAATTTGTGTACCTCAATCCCCCTGCGCAGATTGTTGATGAGTCCAAACTCTGCACAAACGGTCTGGGCACCAAGGGAACAGTGCCGATTGAAATCCTCTCCTTTGGACATGAGAAAATAATTCAGAATCTTCTGAAAATTCCTTCCCTCCAAAACTGCAAGTACAAATTGCGGGAGAAGAATGGGCAGGTGTACATAACGGATAACAACAACTACATCGTCGATTTGTACTTCGCCAACCCGATCGAGGATTTGCTGGACACGTGCCATAAGATAAAGATGGTAAGTGTGACATGTCGCGTCACATTTTGCGCGGCATTTTGATTGACCACTTGACCACTTCACCGCTTAACCGTTTAACCACTCCCCCTGCAGACCACGGGCGTTGTAGACCACGGGATTTTCGTAAACATGACGAGCGTGGCTCTGATAAGCAAACACGACGGGACGGTCCTGAAGTTGGACAAGCACGCAGGAAGTTGAGCAGCACTCTGCAGTGTAGCTATCCATTTCCCCCCCCCCATTTCGCAGAAAAATCTGAACCGTTCAGGCGAAAAAGAAAAAAAAAAAAAAAAAAAAAAAAAAAAAAAAAAAAAAAAAACAAAAAAAGCTACCCATGGGAGCACCCGGAATTAAAACATTTCGCTAGCTCCACTTTCATTTGTTTTAATTAAAAATTAAAGAGTACCTAAAAAACTTAGGCCCCTTTTTTTTTTTTATTTTTTCGTCACTTGCGCATGTGTGTATGCCTCTGCTTTTATGCTTATTCGTATGTTTTTTTTTTTTTTTTTGAAGGAGGGGCTTCTTACATTGTTATGTTGTCCCCCCTCGGAAGGTGTGTATGTACATGTACTACCCAGGCAGTATAGGTCTGCTTTATGAGTCCACCTGCACTTGTGTTTGAAGTTCCTGTTGCCCCACATGAACCGGTTTGCCAGCGCACAGTTGTTTTGGCGCACAGTTGTCTTTCGCTCACCGTTGACCATTTCAAGTGTCACAACGCATCCCTGTCCATTTTCAAAGTGCAATGCACCCTTGTCTTAAATTTTTAAGCAGTTCTCCCCATTGTCCCCCCGCACTAGTGTAGCATAATCACTCGCGTGCTTCGTGCCTCCCTCGAACCGAATCGGTCGTTCGCCCCACCTGTGTGCGTATCATCGTTTCTATTTCTCCCCCTTCAAAGAGCACCAACACCGTTTTTTTTTCAACGATGTATTTGTTTAAGAAGGCCAAAGACTCCATTGTCAATTCGCTGCAATACGATAAGGGTTCTCCCCTTATGCGGCTGCAAGGAGTCTGCAAGGGGATCCTCCGGGCCACGTTCCTTGTCTCCTTCGCGTTGCTCTCGCTAACTGTATCAACCTTATACTTCGAGCGAAACTTTTTTATCAACAGAGGTGAAGGAAGGAACATGGCCCCATTCAACATGTCGCTCCCCATATGTGTAGGGGGAAGTCGCACGTTCGTTTGTGTATAGACCTCGTACATGTATGTTGGGCCACGTTCATCAACTCACCATGTTGCCGCTCACTCATTCCCTCGCGACAGACCTGTTGCAGACCCTGGCAGTGACATCGCTCCTCCTCTGTTTGCTCTCCCTGATCATCCTAAGAAGAAAAAATGGAACCTACATTTATGCCAAAGTTGAGATGCACCCTTTTTCCTTTAAGGACTTGATTGACGTATCACTGGCGACGGGGACGGTCACGATCTCGGTGCTGGACATCCTACTGGTTTGTTTCTGCCCCGCACAATGCAGCACTATGTGTGGGATGTACTATGTGTAGAGAGTGGATTCTTCCGTCGCTGCATTTTTTTTCACACTTCCTTCCCACATGATCCTCTTTCCACCACTACCCCCTTCTCAGTGCTACCTTTGCCTCATTGTGGTGTTTTTCACCTTTTTAACGGGTACCCCTTCAAAACGATTACTTCTTTTTATTTTTTCCATGACTAGCATCTCCGCTGCTACGTTACGTGCGCAGGGACACCCTGGCAGGTATACACCTCCATGAGTAGGAGCAAGAACACCTCTGTGGCTTCTCTTCTTCCCCACAGCGTTGTTTTCCCTTTATGTATGCTTAGACAACCCCCACATGAAGGACAACCAGAATATTAGCCTTTTCAGTAATGAGCCTGTGATGAGCGTCACGTCATGGAAGTAGCACCACGAACACGGTGTCTTCCCTACTCGATTGTGCATTGTTCGACCTTTCTTTTTTCCCTGCACAGTGTGTGTCTGGTTCGTTTTTCGCTGCACTTTTTTTTTTTTTTTGTTTATCCCTCCCTCAGGTATGCAATTTACGTCCGTTTCGTACATCGGGCTGTACTTGATAACTCAGTTTTGTGCATTCAAATCTATGCCCTACCACCCAGTGGAATATTTGTGAGTTGGAGATCCATTTCAGAGTGGTGTCAACGGCACCAGTGTTTGTTTAATCAACATGTGCATGTGCACGCCTGCATGAGGAACATGACGCGCTGGGCATATATCCCACCTTGCACGCACATTCCCTTTTTTTTTTTTTTTTTTTTTTTTATTTCCTCCCCCCTTTAACGTCGCAGGGCATATATAGTTAAAAACATCATGGAGGACATTTTCTGCGTGGGGAAAAAGGCGTGGAAGTTTATATACTAATATAGCAAAAGTGAGTAATTGCCTGCCCAATATTATTTTTCATTTTATTCCTTTGGAAGGCTTCTCTCTCTCGCAAGGTCTTGGAGAGAAGCTGCTGTGTGGACACCAGACCGACTGCTCCCCTCTTATATTGTACATGTAAAATGTATTTACTTTTTTTTCTTCTTCATTTCCATGCATGAACAACATTGTCGTCATTTTTTTTTTTTTTTTTTTTTTTTAACTTCACAACAGCACTGCTGACAATGATAAAGCGTGTGCTACTGGCCACCATAAGGAACTAAAAGTATTTCTTTTTTTTTTTTTTTTTTATAAAGTGTTGCCTGGGACTCTATCTTCCGGGGGGGGAACATGAACCAATTTCGCGCAAGTGGCATACCAATAGGAGGAGTTTTACGCCCCATTTGAGGATTCGCGCTACATGAGCAGAAGGGCGTTGTGCGCGCTGCAATTAGGGGCGGTACGCGTGGTGTGCTGTTCGCGCCTCTACTCCTTGCTTCTAACTCATTGCCGCTGCATCGGGGCCGCTACTTTATACGCGGCACGCCGTGACAAGCCGACCGCGCCTCTTTACTAGCGTGAGCGAGAAGAATATTAAGTAACAGCCGTGATAGCTCAGTTGGGAGAGCGTCAGACTGAAGATCTGAAGGTCCCTGGTTCGATCCCTGGTCACGGCAAAATGGTTACATTTTTTCTCAACGCCAAAAAAAAAGAAGTCATTTTTTTTTTTTTTACCCTTCTTAGTGAACTGTACCAGTAAAAAGGGGCAACAGGAAAAAACATATCATTTTTAACTAGTACTTGGTAAAAGTTGCGTATTCTTCACATTTGGCCAATTCGCCCCCTTTTTTTTTTTTTTTTTTTGCCTATGCATTAGTGGGCTCCTTTCCAGTGATATATATACCCCCCCCACAGCTGAGACAGTTCCTGCCTCTTTTTTTGCGCCGCGCTGGTAAGGCGAATTGAGCCAATGGGGGGTGGGAGGATAAACGAATGGAATGAATGCGTTAAACTATGTTCGGATGTGTAAAAAAAAACAGAGAAAAAAAAAAACGCGTTCATTTGAGGGCTGTTAGGATAAGAAGTTATATGTACGCGTCGTGCTTGCACTCAATTCAGTGTCTCAAAATACGGCGCGCTTCACATTCCCCAGGTTGAGGGCAGCTAACAGGTAGCGTTCGAAGCCGAGGGCCAACCCCCCATGGGGCTTCGAACCAAAGCGAAACGAATTGATGTATTTTTTTAAAGTGGAGTCGCCGTCTATTAGCTTTTCACATTGCTTGAGATATTCAGACAGGGAAAAGTTGGCCCCCTCCGTCATGCATAATGCAGAGCAGACTTTCTTTCGTGGACTCTGCACCGATTCACAGGTGTTCATTATTTTGTAGAGGAGAATAGGTAAGTGGTTGATTCGCTGACTGCCGGAAATAATTTCTACTCCCTTGTAAACAAAGTCAAAGCTGTTCGTAAACCTAATGTCGTACAGGTTGTGTCCTGTGTAGTATGGTCTGAGGTGCCATGGGTACTGGTCAATTATGAACAAGTCCACGCCAAAATTTTTTTTTAAAAAGTGGTGTAGGAACTGTAGTTCTTCATTGGTCAAGTCGGGAGAGTGGAGGTACTTTTCCTTTAACTCTTTGCTTTGCGCCGATTCGGTTACATGTACTTCATACACGTCGTCTGCTTCCTGTACCCGTGGGTTCTTGCGTAGCAGGTTCAACAAAGAAAATTTACACTCCACCTGTCCATCATGGAAAGCAGTTGATGGCGTGTCGTTTGGGCCAAGTGACGCATTTACCTCCCTACCTCCCTCATATAAGCGGTTAAGAAAGAGCAGTAAGTTCTTGTAGAGCTCGTCTCGATTGAACCCGTTTAGGAAGGCGTAAACATTCTCATCGTGTGGGTCCCCTTCCCATGGGGATGATTTCCCATCAGTGCGGACACCTCCCTGGTGCACCCGGTACATGCCCTCCACCTTCTGAGTAAAATATACGTCATGCAACATATCGCCAGTGGGTGCTTCAAATGATATCCTTTTCTTCAATTCATCCTTTTCTTCATTAGTAAGAATTTTCACATCCCCTTGGGACATGTTACATGGCGCATGTGTCTTTTTTCTCTTCCCCCCTTCCTGTACTTCAAATGGTGAATAGTTAGAAGTATCCCTCAACGAGTTGGAGGCATGTTTGTCGAGTATATCTCTTGCCTCGCAAAAGGAGAGTACAAAAGGAGAGTCGGGAAATTTGCTGGGCTCAAAATCATGACCTCCAAAAAAAGAGCTAATTAAATTTAACTCCTCCGCAAATCTTTCAAGCATATACTCATTTAATCGCTTCAACATATTATACATGGGCATGACTATTTCATAGTAGTTGTGATAAAGGACTCGTTCCATGTCTAGCGAAAGGAACTCGTTCAGGTGCCTTGAGGTATGGAACTTTTCATTTCTGTATGAGTAGTTCATTTCATAGATTCGTTCAAAATCGGAGTTGATTAACATTTGCTTGTAAAATTGGGGGCTCTGGGCTAGTATGACTTTTCCCCCCTCAATTTTGTAGCACCTGGAGCCTCCTTCCGACCCGTTCAGTTGGAAACTGGTGCGGCCATGCATGGAACGGGAAGTGGTGCGCGAGGCATGATTTGCGTCATCGGGGGCGTGTTCGCCATTGCTACACGCAGAGTCACCTACATTCTTCTCCTCACTGCTGGCCGCTGCGTCATGGGCTCTTCCCCCTCCGAGGTCGACCATCTTGGACGTGAACACTTCTGTGTATCCATCCCGCCGAAGCATCTCCCTAAACCGTTGCGCAATGCGGCTCTTAATTTCAAACACGATGTGGTTCATGGGGTGCCTGTGGTGCAGGCTGGGGTGTTGCAGCTTCAGGATGACTTCGCTGGTGTTGAGCTTTGCGGGGCGCCGGGCAGTATCACCGAGTTTATCTCCCCCAAGGAATGCGTCACCACGGGCCATGTCATAACCGACCATGTCACCGCCGCGTAGGCCAGCACCTGCACGCGCCGCCCAGAACGCCCTGCCCTCGTTCACCATCACAGGCACATCATCAAACGCTTCCGAGATACACCGGATGCTGCTCACCACGACCTCTATGCATTTCTCATTCAGTATGCTTTCCACAAAGGGAACCCTACATCTACTTAAACCTCCATGTACCTTTACACGACCCACAATGTCCACAACACTTTCGTTTCGTATCTTTTTTATATAGGTAAAAAGATCATCTTCCCCTTCAGTGCTTCCTCCTTTTTTTTTTTCATACACACAGGTGAGATAAATTCCCCTCTCTTGTCTGAGGCGAAGCAAAATTCTTCTCGATTGCTTCACTTTTTGTTCCACTCTTCCTCTAATGAGAGTGTAGTTCTTTTCGACAATGGTCCTCCTTATGCTTTCCCCCCCAACGTGAGTAACTTCACTGGAGGGGCTACTACACGAGGAGAACTCCCCTCTGTGCTGTTCAATGTATTGAACAATCTGTTCATACGTCGAGTAGCAATTTTGGCGATTTGCAGTTCCATAACAAAAGGATAAGTCACCCACTTGTGCGAGGTGCAGTAGGGAGGGGGCATCTCCACTGTGATCACTTTCACTAGGTTGTTTTTTCTGCCCCTCCCCCTTTATCTTCAACATATAAAGGACAGAGCTGCGATTCTTCCACCCGGAAAGGCGACATGTACATATATTTTTCTTCCTCTTCCCATGCGAGAGTCCTCTGCTTGTCTCATCGCTGAACCGTGAGAAGCCTACTGGTGGTGAGACGTCACCTCCACAAAGGCTATTCAACTGGCTTGTCCTTTTTTTGTGTATACCACTTGGGGAAAGGCACTTGTTACTAAAACACTTGCTGGGTCTCCGCCCCACTGAACTGCTAACATAGGCCAGGGGTTCTCTCCTAGGGCCCCCTTGACTTAATTGTAGGTTATAGCTTCCTCTTTGCTTGTAGCAGAGGATGGACTTTTGCAGGTACGTCATTATGTGAATGTGCCACAGGAGGAGGAGCACCCCCTTTGCAGGTTTCATTTTTGCGCTTGCCCGCGTCACCCTCCGTCATCCGTTACTCTACCGCGCTACCCTTCTTCATCCCTTACTCTTCCACTTTACCCCTTTGCCATCTGTTACTCTGCCGCGTCACCCTTCCTCATCGATCACTCTGCCGCGTCACCTCTTTGCCGCTTCCACGTTGCACACCTCAGGGAAGAGTCAAAGAGGGAGCTCTACACGCTGTCGTCACTCCCTCCCATTTTTGTTTTCTCCATTTTAGGGTTGGTTTCGCTACCAAAATGGGATGAAGGAAAAAAAAAAAAAAAAAAAAAAAGAAACAAGCGTCGCAAGCACGTCGAACGCGAGAGCGATTTTTGAGTGCCAAGTGCGACGCAGAAAAAAAAAAAGTGCACTAAGTTCCGTACTGAGCAGTTCTGCCCGATTTGTGTACTCCCCTCTGTCGACCTAAATGAACACAAGTGTGAAACGAAATTGGGGACTTCACAAGAGGGTTTTTTTTTTTTTCACCTTGAAGTTTTGTGGTGACCTGGTCTACACGGAAAAGGGGATCACACTCACATAGGTGGTAAAATAATACCACCACCACCCTGTTCCTGTGCAGCACCTCCACTTCACGTTTGCAACAAAATTGAAAAAAAATTAAACAAAAAAAAAGTTACGATTAGCCAGTTCAGTCGTTACACAAATGAGGGGGCGGAAAATCATCATCAATGTTATGCAGTCAAATGTGATGAACACGAAAAAAAAAAAAAAAAACAACATCACAGACTGAATGAACTAACGGGGGGTGTGCGAAGGAAAGGATTAGGAGATACCGTGTCGTGATCATGTGGACGGGGTGGTGAGCTCTCCCTTAAGGGGGGGGGGGGGGGGAAACTCTTCTATTATAAAAAGGGGGACACCTTTAACTACAACATAAATTTATCACTACGCTGTTAACACCCATGCACAGTTAGCAGTTAGCCGCTCTTCCTGTCTCTCCCCCCCCTCAGTTGCTACCCCGTGGGAACGCTCCCGACCAGGTTGAGAAAGAGGAAGACCCAAAAGTCACGGTTGCTGACCATACGGTTGAGAAACTTCCTATAGGGGGCCCTGCAGGTGCTACGCAGGGTGCCCACATTATGTACACTCAATTTCGTGTTGAAGGGCGAAAAGAACAGAGCCCAAAAGGCGTTGTAGTTATTCTGCTGGATTAGCATATGTAGTCTCCTATGTATGTCCTTGTACAGGTGCCACACGTTTGCCGCAACCGATTTGTGCAGTTTGAGGGAGCCCTGACCAACTAGAACGAAGTGTGATTCATCTGCATCGTGTTGGTAGTCACCTCTATCATCCCCATCGCGGGAAGTACAAACTGGGTAGCCCCCCCCCCCTTGTTGCATAATCTGATCAAAAATGCTCCACACATGACGCACAATCGCCACATGGTTGCAGCTCCTCAAAAGGTATAGAAGCAAGTCGGAAAGGTCTAGCCAAATCATGTCATTCATGTACCCAGTGTCTATTTGAGAATCTTCTTCCCCAGTGGGGATATTTCGTGGTCCATAAAAAGTATCCCGTTTACATTTCTTATATTCCGAGGGGACCAGATTTTTTACATGCATTAAATTGTAATACAAATCTGGGTCAATTTTTTTTCTTATTTCGTTGGTGTCAAATAGGTAGGGTTCATAATGTGTTTTACTATTCCCTCTGCATTTAATTAAGAACTCCACATTTTCATTCAACAGGATACAAAAGAAGGTCACGTAGTTATGCCAAAAGTAATTCCTCAAATAGTCCAGCATATTCTTACACTGGTATTGAATTGCGTTATAAAAGAAAAGGCAATATTTCCCTTCAGCATAGTACAGCTTAAAATTATTAACATGGTCATTTTGTATAGAAGAAAATAAACTGATCTCCTTGTGAATCCTCTCCAAGGTAGCATTCCTCCTTTGGTGAAACGATGGTGGGTATGAACACCTGTACATGGTTTCGTGGTTCTCCTTAATATTTAAACATGCCTCTTTAAAATACAGCATGAAATTGTTTATGTGTACATTTATTGCTCTCATCATTTCTTGGAGGCTCATTTGTGTTACTTCATTTAGGAAGTTCTTTTGTAAGAACAGCTCGTATGGGTCACCCCCCATTGGGGACACTTCTTCCCCCTTCGGGGTGATCCCCTTCATCACGTAGTGCAAGTGGCTAAAGTACGACACAAACATGTTATACAGAAAAAGGGTCTCTTCACTGAATTCCCTATAGGCAGTCACCACTGGGTTGTACTCCCCCAAATCCTTCTTCCCTCCAGGAATGTTTAGTTCACCTTTCATTTGTGCCCCTCCATTCGTGTTTAATCGCGCCTTGTTCGACTGCTTCTTCAGGGGGTCATAGCCCAGCAATATTTTAACGTTGATGTTCCTTTTGTTTGTTTCCTGGTTGGCATTATTCGCAGGGTTCTGCTCTATTTCGGTCATTACTATAAAGTATCCCGCCGCCTTGTAGTTTTGCTTGATTTTGTCTGACATGCGGCTACTTACCGGCGGTTCGGCGTCTTGGACAGGGTTCGTGGAAGGCTCGCTCTGCGATGCGGGTTCTCCGGGGCGGCAACTCGGGTTGGCACTCGAATCGGCACGCGGGTAGCTGTTCACATAGCCGCTTCGCGCATCGCTTCGTGCATCGCTTCGTCCATCACTTCGTCCACCGCTTGGAACTTCCCTTGGACAGCTGCTTAAACCGCCGCTGTGCTCGGAGGAGGGGAGCCCCTCCGCTGGAGGCATCTCCTCGCCATGCAGATGGTACGCAGCGCCAGCGCCCGACACCTCCTCCCAGCCTTTCGCAACGCACCTGTACTGCTTGACCGCCTTCAACATGTTGGGTTGCCCCACACTCCTCACATACTCCTTCCTCCCAATTGGTTTAGCTCCACTTTGAAATCTCTTTTGACCCAAAAAGCGGACAATCGGACTTAAGTAGCCGTTGACATTTTTCCTTATTTTGTTCGCATTCATAATTGTGTAGTTCTCGTTGCACACGTGGGACAAGGTCCTTATCCTTACGCCGGTCATATACATGGGAGAGCCGCTTACATTGCACAGAGGGGGAATCCCAGGTACGACGCTGTTGCCACTGTGGTACATGGTTTGTGTGGGTTGGGTAGATAAATGTGGATAAGCTCATACCATTACAGGGTATATTTTTTTTTTCACCAACACGTTGGCATTCCTTTTGGAGGAACGAAATCAGTTCGCGCGAGTGCCATGTATTTTCGACAGTGAGTCAGCACAGCTAGTCACTTGTTCCTGCACATCGGCAGGACCAGTTGTGATCTGTTATTCCTTCCCAAACGTTTTGGTCCTAAAGGAGGTGTCATCACAAGGTGCTGTGCGCTGCCTTCTGCGCTGCCTCTGCGCGTGCGTGCTTAAAGGGTGAACTGGTGAGTACGCAAAAAAGAGGAGGTGGAATATGCCACACGGTGAGGTGTATAAGGAATACACTCGACAAGAGTTGCCAAACAGTTGCAAAACGAAGTAACCATTAGTCACTCCATCTTGTAACTATACAAACCATGCTTGTCAGTATGTATGCCATGGACTGACACATCATAAAAAAAGAAAAGGAGACGATCGAAATGAAAAAGTTGTATGAACAGAAAAAAAATAAAAAAAAATACAATGCAATGAAATCAAGTGTATACATTGCTATGTTCCCATTTTAGCGCAAAAATATAACCTTGCCGTTCATGTATTTATTTTTTTTTTTTTTTTTGTGCAAAAATAGCTAGCTAAAGCATTACGGGTTAACTTTTCCGTATGGGGAAAATTGGCGGTAGGAATTTACACGATTATTTTTGGTTTTATCATCATTTTACAAAAGGGAAAATATATCTGTACACTAAGCTTTGGGATGGGGGACGCTTAGCAAGAACAGGCGGAACAAAGAAAGGCATGCATTTTGCTCTCCTGGGATAACGTGGACGCACAAAGGCCGCTTTTATATATGACGAAAAGGAGACGCAAAAAAAGAAAGGGAAATATTTGGTCGTGTGATATGCCATTCACGTGTACCTGGGTACATTTCATCTTTTTCATCTGACCTCTAGTACCATTTCAAGCGTCTGGAATAGTGTCAACTGGTGTATCTTGTGCCGCGGCCTACATGATAAGCCACTCGATGGATACATATATAAGTGCACACTTGCCGGGGAGAATTACTGCTAACGTCTTTTCACAGCATGGCTACGAAGCACTACCCCCATGCTCGTGTCTTTATGTGGTATGTGCACAACTTGGGCTGCAACTTGCTAAGGGGATCCCTTCTTACAATAGCGCAACGGAATACATTCGAAGCAATTCCCATGTTCTGCCCAACGCAAATGTTCATATCTCCCCGTTTGAAAAAATTAAGAGGCAAAAATTAAGGCTGCCAAAATGTGTGCAACTTTTGGGGTGACCTCAGCACACGGGGAGGGCGGCTTCACCACTTTTTTAAAAAAAAAAAAACTGCATCACCTTCCAGTACGCCTTTAAACTGAGACACGGAAAGGAACAAAACAAACGACGTGTATGTTTCACTCCGTTCGATAGGACGTTTATGATCTGCTATGTAAACGGGGAGTGGGAACACACATGGATTATTGGTGTTATCAAACCAACTTGTTCAGCTAAATTTTGGAGGCTCCCCTTTTTTGTTCCCCCTTTTGTGTGCAAGTGGGGGAGGACATTCCTTACCAGGTTTATTTTTTTCTAAAAAAAAAAAAAAAAAAGGCGTCAATTTGGATGAGGGACCGGTAGTAATACTCTCTGACGGTTGGCAAAAGGAAAAACACCGCATCGTTCTGCCTTCCAATGGTCCTACGTAAATTTGCACAGGATGCACAGTTTACACGACGGGGAAGAGGATCCGTTACGCTTTTATGTCGTTCTTTTTTTTTTCCTTTTTGCCGTTGTTGTGCGTGTGTTGTTCGCTGCAAGTTGCCCACCTTGCCAAGTGTAAGAATATTTCGAATGGAGCACTAACACACTTTGAGCAGTATGTGATATTCGCACGTGGTGCATATTCGATGGGGGAAAGAGTGACGGATGCGAGGGGGCCGGGGGGGGCAAAACGAAGCTGCAATATCAGTGTGTGTTACCCTATGAAGAGGTGTTTATTTTCCCCAAAATGGGGTTCAAGGTGTTTTTTGTTTTTTTTTTTTTAATTGGCATAAATTTACCAGCGTAATTGTCACACAGGGTTTTTTTTTTTTTTTTTTTTTTTCAGCTCTTTTTTTTTTTGCTCCATTTTTTGCTCAGCCTTGACTAAACCAGCATGAGCAGATATAGCCAGATGGGGTGATGCGAAAGGGGGGGAGAACCAAAAACGGGTGATGTGATTACGGTGTGGCGATTTTGTTGAGAACAGGTCTTCCCCCTGTGAGAAGCTGCCTACGTGTGAACACGCTGAGGAAAGCAGAACTGTTCGACAGGCCTGGTAAAAGCAAGTGTTAACACGGGGGCGGGGAGGCACAGCGGTGAACTCCTGAGTAGACGCGCCACGGAGGAGTAAAATGGAGAGGGGAGAAGTGAAGCGGCGCAAGGGAGGTGATGACGATACAAATGAAGAACGGTTGGATCCACCGAATATGCGCCTCAATGTGATGAAGGACAAGTCATGGAACAGCGAAAGCATGTTTAATAGCGTCCTGTTCAGCAACCTATCGAAGGAACAAATTAAAATAGTACAGGTGCCCCTTAACAAGAATTTATGTATAATTGCCTGTCCAGGGTCAGGTAAAACGTCCACGCTGACTGCACGCATTATGAGAAGCATCATTGAAAAAAAAAAGTCTGTTGTTTGTATAACTTTCACAAATTATGCAGCAAACGACTTGAAAGAAAAAATTACAAAAAAGGTTAACTGCTTAATAGACCTATTCTCAGAAACAGATGTGAAGTGTAAACTCTTTACAGACAAAAACTCCAAGAAGAAATACGACACGGGTACCAAGATTCATAGCAAAACGAAACTGAAAGTTCTGCACACGATCATGTTCATAGGTACGATCCATTCCTTCTGTAGGTATCTCCTTGTCAAGTATAAAGGACCGTTCAAAATATTAACAGACTTTATCAGTTCAAATGTTATAAAATTAGCTTTTAATAATTTTTATGCTTGCTTTTTGAAAGGAAAATCTGCCCAAGGGGCGGGAGAAAATTTTTTCGCGTCAGGAAAAGATACAAAAGATGACCATAAAGGGTCATTTGATTTTATGAACTTTTTTAATATTTTAATGAAAAGCTTTAGTAAGAGGGATGCACAGCAGATAGAGGATGAGGCAGAGGGGCAGGCAGACGAAGATGGAGAAGGGGATGATGAAGATGGTGACCATTATTATAACTACCTTTACCACGTTCAACACGAGAACAACAGGAAGGACCACTTCGAACATGCTGATATACCAACCATGCTCAAAAAGAAACACATATTATTTTTGAAGAAAAAAATAAAGCTTTTCAAATATGTGGAGCTGTATCGGATGAAGATCGAAATGAACCGCGTGGAGGCAAGGTTCTACGCAGAGTACAAAAAGATATTGGACGGTGCCAAACATATTTACTACGACTTTGATGATCTGCTCATCGAGACGTACAGACTGATGAAGGAGGACGAGCGTGTCCGCGACAGAATTCTGGCCGAGTGGCACTACGTCTTTTGTGACGAGTTCCAGGACATCAATACGACCCAATTTAACATTTTGAGGTTTTTTGCCAATGAGACTTGTGGCAGGAGGGAGGAGGAAAGAGGGGCGCCACACAATGCAAACACTTCAAATGGAGCGAATCAGGAACCCCACCCCTACCGTGCCCACGAGTCGGATAGAAGCCTCACCGTGATTGGGGACGACGATCAATCCATTTACTCCTTCAGGGGAGCCCACATTAACGTCTTCGAAAAAATTATAAAAGAACAAAACTGCCTGCTATTCAAACTAGGTACTAATTTTAGAAGCACCAAAGAAATCGTTAGGGTTTCTTACAACCTCATCCTGCACAATGCTTGTTGCAGAATAGAAAAGGAGCTACGCACAAACAACGTGCAGGGAGAGAAGGTGAATTTCCATGCCTTAAAAACGAACAATGATCAAGTGTCCTTTATCCTTTGTCAAATCATTTTTTTAAAAAAAAAATACAGTTACAAGTTCGGCGATTTTGTTATCCTGTCTAGGACCAACAAGACGTTGAAGGAGACTCTCAAGTGCATTAACAGCGTGGATGTCAGGAGGAGGGCCGTTAAATTTTTTCATGAACTGGGTAAGGGGGCAAAAAGTGGGGCCAGTGGTGTGGTAAAAAGTGAGGAGAGTGATGGGGCGCTCGGGGGGGACCATCACTGGACAGACGTAACCCCAGATACATTCAAAATACCCATTAAAGAAATGAACAGAAAGAAATCCTTCTTCGGGGCGAAGGAAATCGTAGAGTTAATAACTGTGCTCAGATTCCTCCTCAACGTGGACGATGACATAATATTGAAGAAGGCCTTTAAGATTATAAAAAATGACAAGGCGGTGCAGGGAATATTGGACAAGCTAGAAAGCAGCGACTTGGGAGACACCTCACAAGAGGGAGAAGTATCCTCAAGCGCTGAAGGAGGAAATGGCCTCTCCCTTTTCAACCGTATTGAGAAAATCACCCGTTGGTACATCCTCTGGAAGAGAAATCAATTGAACACAGATGAGGTCCAGCACCTAGACGTATTCACAGAAGAGGAGATAAAAATAATATTAGACTTTTTTTTTTGTGTAAATTATTTTATAAAATTCGCTTCGCAACCTAAATCTGTGTACAGTCTGGTGATGGACATGTTCAGAAAAACGAATTTCGTCAATAGGATTCTTAAAAGGGTAAAGCGCAGACGGGAACCCGAGGTGATGCAAGGGGACAAGCAGAACGAGCGGCAGAAGAACGAGCGACATGAGGGGGAGGAAGAGCAGTCGCAGCAGCGGAAGAAGCGCGCCTTCAAAGAGTGTACTAGTGAGAGCGATACCAACCACCCCGAATTAGTGAACGAACTTAAAATCAAGCGCGATCTCCACACCTACTTCGGAATCAGTGATGAAGATCTGGAGGAACACGAATTACAAAATATTTTTATTCTGTTAGAGATGATTATGCAGTACACACCTAACCAAATAAATAAAAAATGCTCAGACTGTCTCATTTCCTTCCTGAATGATTTTAAAAATGACATACATGAGAAAATGTTAGTAGAGAAGGTCACCCTCACGACCATACATAAGTCGAAGGGGTTGGAGTGGAAGGTCGTCTTCATTGTAAATGCTATGGAAGGAGAAATTCCTCAGGCGGCGGAAAATAATAGGGACATAATTGAGGAGAGGAAAATTTTTTATGTTGGCATTACTAGAGCCAAGTTTTTCTTGTACCTGCTCTGCTTCTTGCAGAACAATCATACGGGGGAGAAGAACACCGTCTCGAGGTTCGTCAGTCAGATGGCCATTTGACTTCACCTTCAGTTGGGAAAACTGCCACGGAGTGTGTAGCGTGTAGCGTATATCACCTTTTTTCGTATGACTTGTTCATAATTTTTTTTCTTTCTTTTTTTTTTTTTTGTGTGTGTGTCAATACAAGGGAGGAAAGAAGGATGATATGACGCTTCGAATTAAGTCCTATCATTTAGCAAGGGTATGGCGGCGCGTTGGGTATCCCCGCGCGTGTGCGCAGGGGTGAAGAGAGCATCCGTCTTTTCGTACCCTGGAGCGGCGAAACGGAAATTACTGCGCCATGCTTCCATCCCATCTCCCAGGCATCTTTCCACGCGGGAGAAAGAGACATCAACTGTAGCGTCCCCCCATTTGTATAAGCGTCCATATATATTCCCACACGATGTAAAACAATTTTTTTTCCTTCCCAATTGTAACATCATTCCGCCTTCCTCTTCGCTGCGCCTGAAACGAGCCCAGACGGGGAAACCCCCCAAAATGTCTGTGCACTTCCGCGAGTTGTTTCCATCGAACAAGTACTACTGACGAGGGGTCTCTGGCAGACCTGTGTACATTTGCACTGTGTACACGCAACACTTTTGTGTACATGCCTTTTTTTTAATTCACGCACATGTCCAACTGAGCTGGTAGACTGCCCCAGTGGGAGATCCTCCACGATTGTTGTCCCGCTTCCACTCCCCTCAGGGTGATAAAATTTCGAACCGACTTTCGTAACACAATATATGATTTGTTCCTGCACAGAAAATGGGAGCTCACCACGCAGTAAGGGATGGCCGCCTTACCCCACGACATCGCTTCGTGTATCCCTCCTTGCTCGAACCCAAGGGCAATCCCAATTATCCCCTCCCACTCTTCCCTCCCCTAACAGCGAAACCGACTGGAACATGTGTTGGTCGGAGAAGGACTGGATAAACGAGGTGTACGACACGCTGTCCCTGAGGAACAATCAGTACGTCAACCACTTCAGGAACTACTACGAGGTGAGGCGGGTCTGTCCTACACCTACATGTGTTCGTGCCGCCAGCAGTTAGAGGCATGTGCTGCTGTGCTACTCCATTGTCTGCCCCTGAACACCGCGTACCAACCTACTGCATCTTTACTCTTCACGATTTTTCCCCTTGCACGGCCTTGTTCCTCCGAAGCTGACGCGGAAGGACCTGCTGGCGAAAAACATGAAGAAGCTGAAGAAGCAAAATGAGAAGATGAAAAATGAGGAAGAGCTAAAACTGATTGACATAACCCCAGTCACGTTCGTCCTTCCACTTGAGTACAAGCTGTTCCTCGAGGAATACAAGCGAAGGAGCAATCGCACGTGGATTATGAAGCCGATTGGAAAATCCCAGGGCAAGGGGATCTTCCTGTTTAAGAAAATATCGCAGATAAAAAGTTGGAGTGTCGGCCGGCAGAGGGAAAAGGTAGCAGAAGTGGGCCGGTCCCCCGAACGGGGAAGAGATGTGGACCGAAATAAAGCAGCGGAAGTGGGAAGAACCCCCGAACGGGGAAGAGATGCGGACCGAAATAAAGCAGCAGAAGTGGGACGAACCACCGATCTGGGAAAAGACGCTCACCGAAGCAAAGGAGTAGAAGTGGACAAGCCGCCAGAAGGAGACAAGGAGGCAGAGCGACCAGAGCAGTACATCGTGCAAGAGTACATCCCGAACCCTCTCCTCATCGGCGGGAAAAAATTTGACATTCGCCTGTACGTCCTCATCGTGTCCTACTCCCCCTTGACCATATACCTCTACAGAAGTGGCTTCGCAAGATTTTCACACACATATTTTAAAAACGAAAAAAATAACATGACGGACATTACAATGCACTTAACTAATGTCTCCATACAAAAAAATGCACAGGGATACGACGACAATGTGGGAGGCAAATGGTTTATAAGAGAATTGTTTCTCTACATGATCAGTCGTTATGGTTGTGCTAGAATAATGAAATTAATTAGCGACATTGAAAATTGTATTATTCAGTCCTTCTTAGCAGTTCACAAAATTATAATAAACGACAAACACTGTTTTGAGCTATATGGATTCGACATTCTAATTGATAATAATTTAAAACCATGGCTCATTGAGGTCAACTCCTCTCCTTCACTCTCGGCCAACACCAAGGAAGACTACACACTTAAGTTTAATATGCTAGATGAGCTCATGTCTTTAATGAACTTGGAAATGTACAATTTACCCGAGACTGACCGAGTTGGAGATTTTGACTGCATCTACAGGAAGGGCAACCGGGTTGTCCTTTCCCATCCCTACAACTTTTTTTCTCACTTGGGTAGGACACCGGCAACGTGCATAAGTAGCGGCCGCGGGAGTGGCGGTAGTGGCGGCAGTGACAGCGGCCAACGCGACGATGTAGCGGGAGTGGCGGCACTTGTGACACCCGAGCGTCCCCTCACCCACTCCGTCCCTTTCATCCCTTTTTCAGGGGCGCAGCTCTCCGGAACGGAAAATTTGAAGCAAATGGCAAAGGACATCAAACGGGGCATGGACGCACAAGGGGGCCCAGAAAAAGGAGGCACAACATGAAACAAAAAAAAAATGGAGACAAATGTACACGTGTGTCGCCTTGTAGTGGTGTAGCGGCGTAGTGCCGTAGTGGTGTACACGTGTGGTAGCAGGACACAGCGCTGAGCTACTCCACAGGGCCCTTCTTTTCGCTCAGGCCATGCAGGCGCCGGTCGAGGCTCCTGTGGTACTCCCTTGACAACCTCTTAAAATTGTTATTCTCGGCCAGGTCCTTTGCGAAGAAAAGGGTTCTCTCCTTCAGCAGGCGCATCTGCAGTGGGGGGGCAACAGCAAACAAGGGCATGTGTGTGTGTGTGTATACACGTGCACATGTGTTTGTAATTGGGTCACTGCTAAACTTGGTATGCACGCTACGCGAGGAATTCGCACAAAGGACGCGCCGATGCGCCCAGACTAACCTTCCTCGATATGTCCCTCCGCAGGGTGTACGGGATAAGGGGAGAGGTATTCTTCTCCGGGGAGACCCCTCCCTCGTTGTTAGGAACGAACACCGAGTTAGTCCTGCCCCAGTAATAATCGTACAGAGTAAAACCAATAAAAGATGCGGGGAGAACGGATCCCCCAAGTGCTAACACCTTGAATGCTCTGTACCTACTCCTCAGTGAATCGGGGCGAGTAATTTGATAATGCAGGTCAGCATACTTATGAATGAGCAACTGGTTTATGCACTTTATGCTTTTAAAAGCCCACAGGGTGGTCAACAAGACAGACAAGTGAATTAACTTGGGTTCGTATAACAGGGTCATGGAAGAGTAAAATCTTTTCCCCAGGTCAATAAATGGAGACACGTATTGCTTCAGGGGTGGTTGCTTCGCTTCGCTGAGGGAACCTCTTCCGGATGGAGCCTCCAACGAGGCCTCCTCCACATGCTCTTCATTTTCATTAACTACTATAAACCTTTGCTTGTACTCATTTTGTATGCTTCTGTTAAATTGGTCATCCTCCAGTTGTTCTTTTAAGTAAAAATCTCCTCTCTCCATTTTTTATGCTTCAGATGTTTCTGCTTGACGCGGTGGGGTATGGAGGGTATACACACGTTCGCTTTCCCCTGCATGTGCCTTTGCGTTTGCCTGCCCGACACCATGGGGCACCCCCCCTAAACTACCTCACACCGTGTAGCATCACTTCTTACCCTCTGGCGACGCACAGTTCAGCTGTCCCTTGTGAGGAAGTAGCTGTGAAGGGTACCTACCCTATTTAGTATAAATGGGGGGCTCCGTGTTTTATATCTTTTGCAAATGGGTTGACGAGCTTTTGTAGAGTTCTGGGTTGGGTAGGTGGCCTACTGGGGGTCACTTCACAAAGGGAGAGTCAAGTCGGCTTGGAGAGTGGCCAACTGTTATAAACGGGGGAAAGAAAAACAAGTGGGTGAAGAAAGCGAAGCAGGCTCTGAGCAATTTCCCTTCCCAATTGGGCACATAAAATGTAACATGTTAAGGTTTGCAGAGCGACATGCGAATGGTGCGCACATAGGATGGAGGGATGCATACCGCCATATGTATAACGGGGTCGTTCGCAACTTTGCGTGCAGGTACTGCCCCTACCGCTTCATCACTTCATCGCTTCATGGCTCTATTGCTTCCTTTTTTTTTTTTTTTTTTTTTTTTTCAACTTCGCGTACACAAATGTTTGTTGCTCCTCCCTTCGTCTGCGTTAAGACCTAAACGAAGCGCAATCTTGCTTTAACGGAAACAAAAAAAAAAAAAAAAAAAAAACACACACTAGGGTGAAGTAGCAAAAAGGGAAACAACACCAAGTGAAGAAGCACAAAGTGAAGCAAACTCGTTCTACGCGCTTACGCAAGAATGCCTATCTGTGCATACCACTACGTGCGTATTATACAAACAGCATGCACGTTTTTTTTTTTTTTGTAGCTTAAAAAGCTGCTCATCCAGCCCCCCTTTTCACCCACATAAGAGAAACCCCCTGGAGTGATAATTTGCAAAGCTGAGGCTCGGCGAAGAAGCACTCGTCGGCGGAAGGATGTGTTACGCAAACCACTCAGTTGTGTTCGCGGTGAACAGGCAAAGCGGTGAAGGGGAGCACAAGCATACCTGTGGGTGTATTACTCCACACCTCATTGGCCGATGTGCATTCGCGTGTGAACCGCTGCATATCCATTTGTGTATAAGCACACGTGTTGGGGAGAAAAGCATAGTCCGCGTCAGGACCGCAGAGTGGGGGGCTGCTTCCCGTTGAAGGTGTAGAGTACAATATCGCCGTTCCATTTTCAGTTAACCAACCCTGCAAATTAGTGCAAAAAAAAAAAAAAAAAAAAAAAAAAAAAAATGAATGAACACAGGTCAAGGGACTACGACTACCTGTACAAAATAATACTCATTGGAGACAGTGGTGTGGGGAAGTCATGTATCCTATTACGTTTTTCAGATGATCATTTCACAGAAAGCTACATAACCACCATAGGAGTGGACTTTCGTTTTAGAAGAATTAAAGTTGGTGACAAAATGGTAAAACTACAAATATGGGATACGGCTGGACAAGAGCGATTCAGAACCATCACGTCGGCCTATTATAGAGGAGCCGATGGAATAATAATTATATATGACACGACTGATCGCAACTCCTTCCTTCATATTAAAGAATGGATCAACGAAATAAATAAATACACAACTGAGGAGACTTGTAAGTTACTGGTAGGAAATAAATCTGACTGCAAAGACGAAATGGAAATTTCTACCACCGAAGGAGAAAACAAAGCTAAGGAGTTGGGGATTCCCTTCATTGAAACCTCTGCTAAAGATGCTACCAATGTTGAGTTAGCCTTCACCATGATAACTGAGGAACTGATTAAAAAGAAGAAGAAGAAAAGCGTGCCCTCGCTGGGCGCCTCGCAGTCCAAGGTGAAGTTGTCTTCGGAGGACCACGGCCCCGGCGCGCTCTGCTCCTGTTGAGGTGGCGAAGCGGCCAAGCGATGGCGCGGCGAACGGAGCCGTATCTACTACGCCACTGCGCAAGTTCGCACGGGCGAAGAGCAACCATTCCTAGTAATAGTAAATCCCACCCCCCTTAATTGATATAAAGCTAATTTTTTTTTTTTTTTTTTTTCCCCTTTAAATGTGTTCACTTCCCCTTCTCTCTGCGCCCATTTGAGGAGGCCTCCATAAGCATATTATAAAAATATACTAAAGGAAAAGGGAGCGTCATTGCAGGGTAGAGAGTGGCCTGCATGCATAAAAGTTTACATGCAAATAATTGTACACACAAGTGTTGTGTAAATTTATGCACACACATGTACGGTGTATTTTTTTTTTTTTTTTTTTTTTTTTTTTTTTTTTTTGTAAACGCGGATCCAGAGGATAGCTATTGTTTTTCCCTTTAACACATATTTGTGAATGTGAAGTTGATTTGCGTGGGGGGGTCACACTCCTCACATGTGCATTCTCCCCCCCCCCCCCCCCCTCAACGCGTTCGTCTTACAGGCGGTGATTAAAATGCTACGCAGCCGAAGTTACGGGCTCCCCGCAAAGTTGCCTCTCGCGTGTGTGCACATGCGCGCGTGTAGCGACCTGTTCTGGGTGACACGAAAAACGGGCATGTAATGTAAGTATACACTCCAGGTGTGGGGGAAAAAAAAAAAAAAGGAAAAAATTGTAACGGCGTCCTAACACAAGTGGGAAATTAAAAATGGAAACGTGTCGGGGATTGCGCATGATGATATACTTTATCCCCCCCCCAATTCTCGTCGCCAGACCCCCCCCTAGGCTATGCAAAGCTGAAGGTGACCTCATACGCCCGATTATTCGCGTAGCACTTGCAGTGGAAGGAGTTGTTATACTTGGCCCGGTTGGCGTTATAAAGGTCGACGAACTGAGGGGTCAAGACGAGAAGGGACTCCTCGAAGACTTCCCCTCCTGAGGAAGACATGTGTACATAAGTCTTTGGGTATATGGTGAGGAATCCCTTGCTGTCCTTGAGGTGATCCCTAATGAAGACCTTTTTCTTTTTATCGTATATTTCATTGAAGCAGGTATTTTTGTTCTTCTTGTTAACTGGACAAATGAGACCAAGGGTGATTTGTTGACCTGTTTCCGTCTCCACTCCCATGTTAACTGTGACGCTGACTTTGTTCCCCTTCACTTCTACCTTATCACAATTATTTTCAACTCCCCCATAAGCACAAATTTTATCTGTCCTGGAAAAGTCGACACCTAAAATGTGTTCCTCTACACCCCCTGCATGAAATGTGACATTTTTATTCTGCGTTTTCTGTGAACCATTCTTACTTAAGAAAAGCATATGTGTAGTCGATTGTGAGGAAATAAAAGAAGGAAGCTTAAAGATATAATAATAATCATCGACCTTAATATATCTTGTGTTAGGAGGGAAGGAAACTGTATTGAGTTTCATATGAGATTTCGCATCTGGTAGTTTAAAGTATATAATATTATTAGGGTACAAATTTACCACAGATTGATTCACATCTGTATTGTCTAATATGAAATTACGTTTAAAGTTTATATGAAGGGACAGGTAAAAGTCTTCTCCTAAGTAGCAGTCCAATTTCATATCTTTAAAAAAATATTTCTCGAGGTCTTTTTTTATATACAAGGTATATAGCTTAAAATTGCTGTACTCATACACGCTTTCAATTTTATGTACTATATTTACAGGCTCTAACATATTGTCATATTTCAAGTAAAAGCATTTTCTTATGTCTTGCCTAACCCCATTGTATATACTCACTGTGAAGAATCTGTCCTGTCCTTCAATTGTTAAATCCTCGTAGTTCACGTCGCAGTAGTAGTTATTGCCTCGCTTCACAAATCCTGCATTCATATAATCCCTCTTTATATACATAAGCGTACAATACTTTACCGTTCCCTTGTGTGATAAAATATATGTGTAAGTTTCCTTCTCATTAGCATAGTTGTAAATTAACCTTTGGCTGTCCAGCTGAAACAATTTCCCTCTGTGGTATTCTGCCCCAATACTCTTTGGCACCTCTAGCGGCATCAGGTACGTGTTGTTATACATATAGTACAGAGTGCATGGGGGAGCCTTGCCATCAGATACAGGAGACACATAGTAACCCCTCACCTTCGCGATGTCCCATATGTAACTCTGCTCTCTTACCAGGTTAACGTCTTGGCACTCAAAGTCGTGGTCCTTTTTGTATGAACACTTGAAGTACTTGGTCAGAGATACCTTAGACGCCAAGTACTGGAAGCCGATTTCATTTCCGCTGATCTTCGGCACCAGGCTTTCGTACGTCGTGTGCTTGTCCATGTTCGGGTGGTAAAAATGAAGCTTTTTCCTGAGGGGAAGAAGTGGCAAGGTTAGAAGTGATGACGTTATAAATGGACTTGGTGATGTTATAAATGACTTGGTTGAGGTGACCCTGCGGGCTGCGAACGGGAAGAGCACTTCGTCCCCTCCCCCAACTCGCAACCGCTGCGTCCTGTGCTTACCCCCAGGTGAACCCCCCATCAGTGCTCGCGTGGCAAATCACCAACAGTCCCACGTTCGGCTTCGCGTTGCGCTTGTTGTTGATCCCGCAAATGAGCAAGTGACCCACGCCGAACAGGTCAAAAGAGGGCAGCGCATAATCATTGAAGGAAGAAGGCTCAAACATACGTAAATCGATTTGTATCTTATCTGTTTGTAACGTTTTTAAATCATCAGTGATACTTCTAAAGCATTCATAAGGGGGATTAGACAGACTCTTATTAAAGCAAAAGACCACAACTAGCTGTTCGTCAGTTGTAAAGCTGTAAAAATATCTCAGCAACTTTGTAGTATAGCTGTTGATGGCTTTGCTTTGCATTTTCCATTTCTTGTCTTCCCCATAGGAGCTAATCACGATGTTGTACTTATTCACCACGCTGTATGGTACCTTGTCCAGGCACACCTGCACAACCTCTCCTTTGAAATTAACAAAGTGCTCGAGGTAACATTGTTTCATGTTCGTGTCCTTTGAGATTAACTCATTTTCGACGTTGAAGTAGAACCCCCGAACTCCCCTGCATGCTATGGACACCCATAGGAGGAGACCGAGCAGTGAGCCCAGCGCGGTCATTTTGCTTGCGGGGGGGGGTCTATATACTGTGTATGGGGGTATATTCGTGTGTGCGTGTAACTTCGCCCTTTTCGTGACTGCGATTTATGGGGTTGTATACACGTGGGGGTCGGTACCTGTGTCTCTCGACTGCGCTACTATCTGCTGTTACGCGTTTCTGTCTGCCCCTACGCGTGCACCTTAAACGGGCCGGCAAGACGTGTCATTATTTTTATTGCCCCCCTCTCTTTCGCTTCAATCCCTTCCGTCCTATTTCCCACTGGAGGTTATTCCTCAGGGGTACCACCTTGGTGGGGAAAAAAAAAAAAAAAAAAAAATGCACAACGCAAAGAAAAAAAAAAAAGGAAACCCGTATCTGGAAGGATAAAATACGAGAGTCAACGGAGAGAGAAGCGCAAGTCATGCGTACTCTTGCGTAGAGGGACCATATTCTTCCTTATGCGTCTTTCAATAAAAAAAAAAAAATAAATAAAAATAAAAACATAAATAAAAAATAATAAAACGAAATGGAATGAAGTAAGCGACACATTGCGATGTCGTGTGTACACAGGCAGACGCAGCCCGAGTGACCCCAACTCAATCGTGTCAACCCAGTTAAGACCGCCAATTTTAGGTAAACCTCAATCAGATGGATCGAATGAAACAAAAAAAAAGCTCACCTGTATATGCATGTCCCGGTTGGTGGGCTTTGGAAGGATGACGCGGTAGGTGTACATACAGGCCAGCACTAGGAAAAAGCAGTGGAGGTTAAAAACAAAAAAAAAAAAGGCTCCACACGGGGGCACTTGCCCCTACAGGGGAAATTTACTTTTACATATTACACTGCATGTACGTACTCCTATGTGAATGTTGAGTTGGTGTAATGTAAGAGGTCCGCTTCAAGATGATCAACCTCTTGTCCTCCACCTGACCATTTCCCTCTTCAAACCCCCTTTTTACCTGACAAGTCAGGTGATTTTTTTTCCTCCTCATCAATCCTACTCGGTACATACCCAAGCAAACGATGACACAGTTAACGTTGAAGAGAATCCTTACAAAAAAAAGAAAAAGAAAGAAAGAAAAGAAAAGTGACGCATTTGTCCGATACGTACTGGCACGGACGCATTTGTCGCGCTGTTGATCAAACAAACTGGCTCCGTGTGGACACCTCCTCGCCGCCACTTCTTGTTAATGCTGACTGGGTGAGGCAACGCAAAAACAAGTTGTTACTTTATCCACATGCATGCCCGTATATGAGAAGTGACATGCAGGAGGCTGCTCCCACCTCCCATCACATGTAGGGTTATGCTAATATTTTCACGCTGGACCTCTTCAAGGGGGGTGTCTAATTTGTAGTCTGTCCCAACGGAAGGGGCCCTTCGTTCCTGGCACTTGACAGGTCGGCCGCGCCTGCCTGGTGTGCCCCATCTGCCCCGTCTCCGGGTGTGTCTATTGCGTCCACCTCTATTACATGGATTGCCTCATCCCAACGCCGCAAAGGCACAGGGGCGGCAATTATATTCGCGTCTCCTTCCGATGATCACAGTGTTAACCTCCCACCTGTGTGGGGTCCCCTCCCAGACGGATTTAGACTGGGCAACGTCGCCCCATTCCCCCCTGACCGGATGGTCACATGGGGTTACCTCCCCACCTCTGCACTGCTTTCCATAGCCACAGGGTACGTTGAAGCGTTCCCTTTTTTCTTGTTGTAAAAAAAAAAAAAAAAAAAAATATCACCGGAGTCTCACCTTGTGGTGTAGCCAATTGGTCAGGTCACAAAGTGGGCAGTGTGCTGGGATAAATCAGGACGCCGGTTAGCGTTCGTTAAGCTTAGCCAAGTTTGGTCACCTTGGGCTTACTTCAACTTATTCAGCTTATTCACCGTCGGTCGCGCGGGTGAGAAGCAAACAGGGGAGGAGTTGCAAAAGTGCGGAGCCGCGCCTCTTCGTTTCAATTCGCAGGGCTGTTTTTTTTTTTTTTTTTTTTGCTCTCTTTTTGCCCTCTCGCATTATTCACCCCCGTTGCTCAGTCGAGTGTGCACAGTGGAGTGTGTCATACTCCCCCGGGGGGCAATGCTGATCAAAACGAAACAAGTTAAACTGCGCGAAAGGTTACCCCAAACGATTCACACATTCTTTTTTTTTTTTCCCCTGCGACAATTACTGTTTCACAGTATGGAACTGCAATTTTGAATAATTTTTTTTCCCCCTCCCCCCGTGTTCACCTTCTCCGTCAGCCTCTTTCCTGTTCCTGTTGTATATGCTTGCTTACACTATTAAAAATTTTTTTTTTTTTTTTTTTTCCCTTTTAAATTGATACCTAGCCGGTGTGTTTGAAATGAGAAGGGGTAAAATCCCCAATCTGGTGTGCAAGTGGAAAAGCCCTTTTTTTTCAAATTGATTAGCCAAAAGGGGAGCAAACACAAAAGGCATATACACGGAGAGAAGAGTATCTCTCACGATGATGAGCCATACTGCCTGCACATTTTTAACAGAACAGTATTTCTCTTTACCAAGAGGCACCTTCTTCACCCCCTTTGCATGTATATGTGTGTTTTGTGTGTATAATTGCCGTCACATTTGAGAGGAGTTTTTTTTCCCGTTTTGCATGATATAGCATCCGTCAGACACAGAACGAAGTGATGTACGAGTTAGCTCGATAATTTGTTACCCACACGAGTGAGCACGTGCATGTTCAGGCACTAGGAGGAGTTTACACCCTGTGATGTTAAAGTGAAAAAAGACCCTTCTGAGGAAAGCGGCGTAAATCTAATCATTCTACACGGAAGGAAAAACAAAAATGAATCAACCAGCGGGTATTATTAACGAGCAAGGGAAAGACACCCTACTGGTGAGCGAACGGAACAATGAACCCAAAGTGCATAGTGAAGGACGTGAAGCAGACCCCCATGGTGAGACGCACGAAAAGAAACACCCCCTCCAGAAAGAAGTGGCAACATATAATATAACAATCGGGGAAGAGGATAAGGAAGAGAAAAAAAAAAAAAAAAAAAAAAAAAAAAAAAAAAAAAAAA